AACCTGTGCCCGGGCCCAGCCGGCAGCCACCCTGCCAGGCAGGGAAGGGCTCTGGCACCGCTTCCCATGTGCTCCAAAGGCAGGGAGCAGAGGTCCCAGCAACCCTCCTCTCCAGCTCGAGGGCTGACGGATTTCTTCCCTCCTCAGGCTTTCCAATTCAAATTTTTCTTCTTTTTTTTTTTTTTACTTTGTACCATTTTTACTCCCCTTAAAACTTTAGACCTGGGAAAAAGGCAGCGATGTGCGGAGTAGCAGAACTAGTATTACTACCAGATTATAAGTAATTTGTACACACGCCCTGGGAGAGAACAGAAACTCCAGGCTCTGCCTCCCTCATCTGTGACCCAGAGAAGGCCACCGACGGCTCACGGGGACAGGATGCCTACGCAACACCCGGGTACGGGCTCTGCTCTGCCGGGACGCTCAGGAGCGCGTCAGGAAACAGCCGCTGCCATTCTGAGCTCCAAAACGCGTTGGCGGAGGCGATGCAGCAGTGTCATGAAGTGCTGCCGTTCTCAGCGGGGTCCTGCTCCCCTTCCCGTCCCTCACTGCAGAGCCAGGACGCCGAGCAGAGGCCGCAGGGCACCGGGAAGGGCTGTGGGAGCGGTCCAAAGCCTTCGTGGCGACGGAGGAGAGCTTCGCTCCCCGAGATGCAGCCCAAAGGGAGCTCGTGGCTATCGAAACACCGTTGGAGGTGGGGCGGAGGGTACCTGCAGGTGCGTGCAGACTCTCCTCAGGACATCGTAGACGCTGTCGCGGGAAATGAGGGACACAAAGATGTACTGCAAAAAAAAGAGAGAAGCTGCTGGGACAGATTCCCCTTCCCATCCCAAGTCCGGTTCCCCACAGGCTGGGGACAGGCAGACATCCTGCCCTTGAAGCTCCCCTCCTTTGGGAGCCGCACCTCCCCGCAGGCATCTCCCCGCAGAGTCTCCCTGCTGCTATTTTTGCAGCCTGCTAAAACCCAGACCAGATTTTATCGAGGCCGGTTTCGCTCAGCTGCTGTCCCCGTGGGGCCTCCCGCGCTCAGCCCGGATGGATGCGGCAGCAAACGGGGCTGGGAGCGACCAAAACTGACCCCACGGACCAGCACGAGAAGACGCGGAGCAGCACTCACCTTGCCCAGCGCAGAGCCCACGCGATGCGCAGAACGACCTTGCAACCAGATTGCTGTGAACACCCAAAACCTGCCTTGTCCAACCCCCTCCCAAAATCCCGCAGGAACAACCCGCTCCCTGGGAGGGGACAGGCAATGCACACTGCCATGAGCGGCACCCAGGCAGGGGAGGGCTCAGACGCACCGAGCCAGACTGCGTCAGCTCACTGCAGCCAAGAGCACCCAACGTGATTTAAAAGCTGGAAATTCAGCCCCGTAACCAAGCTGTCCGCCAGCTTGGGTCGAACACCGGCCCAAACCCTTCCCCTGCTCACGTTTATGGAGTTTATTTGAGCCTGGCAGGGATCTGTCCGGCTCAGCCGAGTTTCACTTGAGCTTCCCTTCGCCCAGAAACAAAGTGAAATTCAGAAACAAAAGCGAAGCTGCGGTGTTAGCCCTGGCCGGCTGCCAGCACGGAGAGCCACGCTGGCTTCCCAACCGGCCATTGCTTTCAGCTAGGGATAGGGATCACTTTGATCCCTGCTCTCCAACCACAGCCAGCTGGGATCCCCCCGCCGCGGTTGTGCCACAGCGAAGCCGGGTACCGATGCTCGAAGTGCCGGCGTTACCTTTCTGCTGGCATTGGTGGTGATGGCCAAGCCGTTGGGCAGCAGCCGAGCCGTCTTGTGCTTTTTTATCAGCTGTACGGAGACCACCGGGATCACAACCTGGAGGGCAAAGAGACACGGGGACGGGCAAGGACGGGCACGGTGTGAGCTCGGGGAGTTTCTTTCACGAGGCGGAGATTTAACACGCATCGTCATTACACCCCAAGCAGAGCAGCGACGCCGGGGTTTGGCATTTCCCAGAGACAGCTTGGTTTTTATTAAAGGTCACAGCATCCCCCCTGCCTTAATCTCGGCTCGGAGGGGGTTTCTACTCCATCAAAACAGCAAGGACACGGGGAAAGCATCATCCAGCGAGTCCCCGTAAGACCCACCATGACAGCTCCCCTGCGAGCCCAGGGAGGGTTAAAAATAGGGCAGGATGTAATTTCTGGCAGGATAACTTCACTGAAACACCATGCTTCCCTCAGATATTTGTTTAAAGCAGCTGATGTAAATAATTCAGCTCTTCAGCCCAGTTTGAAAGGAAGTCGTCACTCCCTGAGATCCCTGTCAGCCACGAGACTAACAGGGACACATCAGATTGTAAATCAAGACGAAAAACCAAGAGAAATACAAATCTCCCCCCCCCCC